ACCCCTCCAGGGCTGCCCTCGAGCTCCCGGGCTCTCCCCACAAAGCTGCTAGGAATTTCCTGGAGTTGCTGTCCAGTTAGGGATGGGAGTCCTTGGAAGTGAAGGACAAAACTGTCACCAGGAACCCAGACTGACCACCTAGCAAATTATGGCATTCCCTGGGCCTCATAATCTTTTTTTTTTTTTTAAGACGGAGTCTCACTCTGTTGCCCAGGGCTGAGTAGTGCCGTGGCATCAGCCTAGCTCACAGCAACCTCACACTCCTGGGCTCAAGTGATCCTCTGCCTAGCCTCCTGAGTAGCTGGGACTACAGGCATGCGCCACTATGCCTGGCTAATTTTTATATATATATTAGTTGGCCAATTAATTTCTATCTATTTTTTTATAGTAGAGACGAGGTCTCGCTCAGGCCGGTTTTGAAATCCTGACCTTGAGCAATCTGCCCGCTTTGGCCTCCCAGAGTGCTAGGATTACAGGCGTGAGCCACCAAGCCTGGCCCCTCATAATCTTTTATGTGTAATTTGGAAGAGCAACATCTGTCTCATAGAATTTTATTGTTTTTTGAGACAGAGTCTCACTGTGTTGCCCAGGCTAGAGTGAGTGCCATGGCGTTCATCTAGCTCACAGCAACCTCAAACTCCTGGGCTCAAGCAATCCTCCTGCCTCAGCCTCCCGAGTAGCTGGGACTACAGGCATGCGCCACCATGCCCGGCTAATTTTTCTATTTTTAGTAGACGTGAGGTCTCACTCTTGCTCAGGCTGGTCTTGAACTCCTGAGCTCAAACAATCCTCCTGCCTTGGCCTCCCAGAGTGCTTCTAGGATTACAGGTGTGAGCCACGGCGCCCGGCAGATCTCATAGAATTTTAATGATTAAACTAGATCATATTAGGGTGGCCGTGTAATTTGTCACCCAAACTAGGTACATTTGAGAGTGACAGGGGCCACCGTGAACATTCATACTGGAACAGCAGGCAAAGGCCAGGACTGTCCAGGCACACTGGGGGGCAAGGCCACCCTGGGCTCTGTACCTCAGCCTCTCCCGAGCAGTGACAGTGACCGCTGGCCCTCGCCGGCTCTTTGTGTGGTGTGTGGTTCCAAGTGCCGACCTTGTGTGATCTCACAACGAGAGAAAGCTCCTGTTTCGCAGGTGGATACCGGCCGCCTTACACGGGAATAAACCCAAGGCATGGAACAGCCAAGTCGTGTGTCTCGGGTCACCCAGATGGAAACGATGGCATTGGAAGCTGAACCCAGAGTCCTACCCAGTTTTATGTTCCAGCTTCTTTTTTTTTTTCTGAGACAGAGTCTCACTTTGTTGCCCAGGCTAGAGTGAGTGCCGCGCATCAGCCTAGCTCACAGCAACCTCAAACTGCTGGGCTCAACAAGTTTTGTCCTTCACTTCCAAGGACTCCCATCCCTAACTGGACAGCAACTCCAGGAAATTCCTAGCAGCTTTGTGGGGAGAGCCCGGGAGCTCGAGGGCAGCCCTGGAGGGGTGGGGGGAGAAACGGCCACCCGGCATGGGCCAGAATAACCACACAGAGCCCAGCTGCTGGCGGGCTGGTGCCGGACCTTGCAGGCTGGCCCTGCCACGCCAATGCACACGGGCACACCCAGGCAAACCCGGGTCCCTCCTGATTCAGTCACTACCCTGGACAGCCCTCCTTTTCCTTTCCCATTCTTCCAGTCTCCCAGCTATGCAGGAGGCCGAGGTGAGAGGATCACTTGAGCCCAGGAGATGGAGACCATCGTCCTGGGCGACATAGCAAGACCTCATCTCTACAAAGAAAAAAACAAGTGTTGCCTTCCCTTTGGACCTTCCTGTTCTGTGATGGCCTCACTAGGGCGTCTTACCCCGCTAAGAGCAAGGCCTGCCTTTGAGGCCCTAAACAGCTGGCTTGAGGATTCTGGGAGTGAGAAAGCTGTGGGTGAGACCAACATAACAAAGTTGCCATTTGTCTGACATTTGCCAGACTCTTGCTGCCAATGACCTGACTGCAGGCTTCCCATTCCCCTATGGAACGAGGGAGCCACGTGGAAACCGAGGCTGAAGGGGTGCCCCCGGTCATCATCCCGTGGTGCAGCCAGCAGTTGGACCCGGACTCATGTGAGTCCGTGGACTGACCACTGTGCCGCCGGGGAGCGAGGGGAGGGGCACACTGGCGTGCGCTGCGGTCACTTGGAAGTGACTGTGGACGGTTTCAGAGGTGCCCCGCGGTGACTCGCTGAGCACTTGCAGGTGCCTACTGCGCGTCGGGCAGCGGGCGCACAGAGATGGAGGCCCCAGCCCTGGCCTGGTGGCCCCACATGTGGGTGGAGACGCCGAGTAAATAGGTTGCAGCCCAGCAAGCTGTGCCGCTCTGCGCGGTGGCCGCAAAGAGGGCGTGGCTGGCTCTGCGGGTGTAAAGCAAACACGAGTGATCCAGAGCTGCACCGCGGGCCAGGCCTGCGCTGGGGGTGGAGGGGGGGACCTCCCGTGCTGCAGGGCGGAGGCGCTTTGGTCCCCTGGGTGGAGGGGTAGGCGTGGGCTGGGCACCGGGGCGCAGACAGGTGCCCAGGGCTGGGGAACTAGCTGCGCCTCACCGTGGAAGGGTTGCCGGCCTGAGCAGGGTTTGGGATGCCCCCCAGACGTGGAGGCTTCCTGAGCCTTTCGGAGAATGAAGACTCCTCTTTTTCAAAAGCAGTTTAAAGGCTCGGCCTGGCGGGCTCACGCCTGTAATCTCAGCACTCTGGGAGGCCGAGGAGGGAGGATCACTAGAGGTCAGGAGTTCGAGACCAGCCTGAGCAATATCGAGATCCCTGTCTCTACTAAAATAAGAAAGAAATTAGCTTGACAAGTAAAAATATATACAAAAAATTAGCCGGGCATGGTGGCACATGCCTGTGGTCCCAGCTACTACTCAGGAGGCTGAGGCAGGAGGATCGCTTGAGCCCAGGAGTTTGAGGTTGCTGTGAGCAAGGCTGATGCCACAGCACTGTAGCCCAGACAACAGAGGGAGGCTGTGTTTAAAAAAAAAAAAAAAAGGCAGTTTAAAAACTCCTCCTGAGGAGGCTCCAGCTGCTAGGAGTTGCCTTTCAGTGTCTTTATGTTGAGAAAATACTGCAGACTGTCTCAGACGGTCTGTCTCTGTCTCTCGCACGGCCTTCCTGGAAGTCGGGGTCCCTCGGACCCCTCCCCATCGCTGCAGCCGGAGGGCCTTTCAAACCTGTGAACCTGGGGTTGTGCATGCCCTGCTGAGAGCCCTGCAACGGCGCCCTCTGTCCTAGGTCAGTCCTAGCTGCCCCTCTCTGCCTCCAACCATGGGGCCTGCATGTACGATAAACTGCTCTGCACGGGCGCTGGCGTGCTGTGCCCACTCCATCCCTGTGCTGCTTTTCCCTGTTGGCACTTCTGCTTCAGCGTGAAGGGTGCAAGGAAGG